AAAAATTAAAATAATAATAATCCTTGGGAGTCACTGGTAAGAAGTTGTTTTAGTCCAATATTTCCGTAATTTTGGCTAAGAGATAAAAAGTTAGGAGTAAAAGAATGCAAGCAAGCAGGGAGCTAAGGAGAAAAGCGTCTGAGCTTTTCTGATGGTGTTAAATGGATGCACTGTATACACCCAGCATCTTGCTGATAAGCTGTATGTCTCAAAATGAGGCTTTAATTAAGCCTGGTAAAATTAATCAGCTGCATCCAAGGAAACAGCAACTTGCTCTTCAGACACTGCTGAATTACTCACAGACCACCTGTTTGTGACCTTCCTTGCTGTTTTCTTCCAACCCATAATATTTAGTGGGTCCTCTGAAACCTCTTTTTACTAATAGGCACCTGCCAGTCAAACAGTAAAAGTGAACACAAACCACCAGGGGCATGTTGTTGTTACCTATTAACAAAAGTATAGGCTAACTTGAGACACTTGTGCTGCTCATTATAACCACCAATACAGCCTGAGGTACAGTGACTACACAAGCTATCTGCCTTTTAAATATGGTCCACCAGGGTAATATATAGTGACTTGCTAAGGTATTTGTGATGTTGCATCCACAAACATCAATGTATTTTGATGTGATTTTGATGTCATAGAAAAACAAAACATGAGAGGTGTGACACTCATTAGACCCTCTTTAATAACATACCCCTAAATAAAACCATTGCCTCCAGGAGTCGCCTAATTAATTTGCAATTCAACCTCAGTGTAAATATAATATAAATACAATAGAAATATACTGTCATGGTCTGTGGATGTAGAGGAGCAAAATGCAGACAAACACTGGGCAGCAGCATGATGAGAAAAAGCTTATTTCTTTAATCAAAGGTCTTCAAAAAAGCTTTACATGAGTAGTTCCCAAAAAAACTTACATGAATCTTCCAAGAAACATAATACCAGCAGAACACAAGAGGATAGTGAACAGGAGGAACCAGCAACCAGTAATGAGAAACACTGAGCTTTTAAACTGAGGGAAGTGAATGTGGAACAAAGGAATGAGAGGAAAAGCAATCAGCAGGGATTAGAGACAGGTGTGGACTGGGTATGCCGGGAGGCTGAGGAACAGGTGGAACTGATTACAAAACTAAACCATGGGGGAAAGGGACTAAAAAACAAAACTCAGGAAAACAGATCTAAGAAAACTATAACAACATAAGATATAAGAATCTGGAAAATAAGAACTAACAAAGTAACCTGAAGACATGAAGGAAACCCTAAATGAAAAGGTAAACAAACCCAAACAACTAATGATTGCTGAAATAAAGCACACATAAGTACACAAGAATTCAGGAGTAAATAAGAACAATAAACTAACAAACCCCAAAGAACAAAAACACAAACCAGAACCCAAAATGGCAAAACCTGACAAATATAATATAAATATAATATAAATACACGCCACACTTTTCAGACATTTGTCAAATGATTTGAATCCTTTCTCCTCACAAATTTACGCTACTTTCTGTTGGTCTTTTAAATAAAGCCCTGATTAAAAAAATTTTTTGGTTTGTGTCAAATTGTTAAGGTTCTGAATGAAGGTTGTTAACTAGAGAATTCCTTCATTTGATATTCCTTGACAGATACCATATCTAGTCCCTGTTTCTGAAAACCAGAATTTCCTATACATCGCATTCACCCCATATATTACAACTTATCACCTTTATCGTTGTATTTCATAAATCAGAGGAAAGTTCTACTTGGCTGGTTTGTTAAGCCTGCACCAAGATATGTTTTTCTTACTTGATATTTTTCTCTTTGTTAAACAAAATATATCTAAACGAGAGTTCTGATATAGCAATAAATGCGGAAATATCCATGCAGAGCCAGTAGGTGGTTATAATGTAAGTCAAAATCAAAAGTGGGTATTTTCCGAGCATGCCTAGTAATTTTTCTGAGTAAAAACAGGCAGTTTGTTTTTATTTTAGATTGTAAATTCAAAAACATTTTTTGCACACTTCCGTTAGCTTGGTAGATGACATCTGAAGGCACTAAAGGCAAGTAGTTTTTTGTGATTTCTATTTTTCCTTTTTATTTCAAATAACACGAACTCAAGTGATTATTATTGCTTTGTTTTGTCAAGCTTCTCTTAGTCTACAGGTGCACAGTTTTTAGTAAAAAAGCAACTTGAAGTTGACTTTGCTACCAGTTTATATTAAAACCATAGAAATGAATGACATTGAGAGCATTAGTAAAGCATTTGCGTCATTTCATGGTTTCTACTGTATAAGAAAACGCCTCAATTTAGAGCAGCAGCTCAGAGGCTCGAAAAGGGTAATTTCCAAAAAAAAGCGAAAAACACCAGATGAAGAAAGTCCTCACACACAAAGTGAAAGTTTGAGACAGAGCATGGTGTAACAAACTTATTGTTTCATTTTTTAAATTGTTACATAACACAAATGCAGATGACAGTGACGAAATAAAAACGGAGACTTAGAAGATCTCTGCAACCCTGCACAGCAGATAAGCTCACAAAATACCATTCACAACGAAAAAACATTAAATACTAAAATATGACCAACATAATTATAAAAGCCCATGACCAAGAGCGACAGTTCAACAGGATCCTACCCACACAAGTAACCTTTTAATTTAAAGCCCAAACTCTGCTCATTTTAACAGTATGAGTATCACCGCTCTACGCGCAAAACTCACTGAACCAGTGGCTGAAAAAAGGGAAAAATGTGGCTTATTTCATAAGGCCAAAAACATAAATAACGTCTTACTTTCAGTGATGGGACTTATATCTCTTAAAGGAACCAAAATCTTTAGGATACATTCACTTCAAAGAGCTATTTAAATTATCCATTTTTGAAAATTTACATGTTCTGAAGAACAAGCAATTTTATCCCTTATATTTTGTTAAATTATTATTAATTATTATTATTATTATTAAAATTATTATTCATTTTGGAAAATCTGGCATGTGTGGGCGAATTTGGCAAAAAGTTCAGTCATCTGTATTAGATAAGGGTATTCATTCATCTTCTACAGCGCTTAGGACAGGACAAAACACCATGCACACCTAAGGGCAATTTAGAGAGACCAGTTAACCTAACAGTCATGTTTTTGGACTGTGGGAGGAAGCCAGAGCACCCAGCGAGAATCCACACATGCACAGGGAGAACATGCAAACTCCACACAGAAAGATCCCCAGCTGGGCGTTGAACCCAGGACCTTCTGGTTGCAAGGCAACCATGCTACCAACTGCACCACCATGCAAACCTCTTCAAATTTAGGCCCATATTTGTTTAACGTTTCTTCTTATGTGCCTCAAGGTAAGATTGATATATTTATTTACAAGGTGCAAAATGCAACCACAGTATATTCATGCAAAAAAAGAAGAAATGCACCCAGATGGTGTGAACCGCCCCAAGTGAGGGAAGAATGGAGCGGGAGATCGACAGACGGATCGGTGTGGCTGCCACTGTAATGGGGACACTGTGCCGGTCCGTTGTGGTGAAGAAAGAGCTGAGCCGAAAAGCAAAGCTCTCAATTTACCGGTCGGTCTACGTTCCTACCCTTACCTATGGCCATGGACTTTAGGTCATGACTGAAAGAACAAGATCCCGAATTCAAGCGCTGAAGTGAGCTTCCTCCGTAGGGTGGCCGGGCACTCCCTTAGAGATAGGGTGAGGAGCTCGGCCATCTGGGAGGGGCTGGGAGTAGAGCTGCTGCTCCTCCACATCGAGAGGAGAAATATATTTTATGGCCAAAGTTATTCAAACTGTTTTGAATGTTGAGTTCTCTAGTAAGAGAGGAAAAAAAGAACCTAAGTAAAAAACCCAGAGAAATTTTAAATGGTACACATGGGGCCAAAAGTTCCAAAATGGCTAATTTAGAAAGTCTGCCCTAGAATTTTATTAAATGAAACCTCTCTAAAACATCTGTGCATCTATGCTTTTTTTACATGAATTTTGGTACAGCTAATGGTCAGATTCTGTACTGTGGTATTTTGGAATGCAACTGCACACTTTCAAAAGATTTTAAAGTGCAATTGTTTTAGGGGGAAATAATTTTCTTTGTTCCGCTGTGTGTCATATTAATTTACTGTCACTCACTTAATTACTGATTTTTAGATCTCTGAAATATTGTCAAGTGGCTCCCACTTTTTTGGGTTTAAACTGCAGGTTTCCCCCACTTGAAAAGGCAGCTTGCTTCAATAGGATTCAAACTGGATTTCACTCAATGACCCAGAAACAATTTTTCTTTTCCT